TGGTGAAAATAATTCAAAAAAAGATGGATCCATCGCAGCTGATTCTCCTACCGCATATCTCGCAATCTTCGAATATGCTCGTTCATTGACATAGAAATCCGTTACTATTGCATGTGTTCCTTCAGGTAAAAATGGTATTATCGTTGAGATGCCACCACATGGTGTAATTAATATAGTTGTCTTGTATAATTCATGCATTTGTTGAGTAAATGTATATTTATTCCAGACAATAACATCAAGTTGTATCTTTGGATATGTCGAATGTATGAAGTGTTCAACTTCGGCAAGATTTTTGATTGCACGTAAGCTGGCACGTTTTGATTGAGTTTTGTTAACTAATATAATACGATGACGTGACGGTAAATGAGATACATTGACACCATGATATCGTAGGATGGCAGTACGAAAGTCATATAGGAGTCTTTCTTTTCCATTTATATATGGTTCATACTCAAGAGAAAATACGGGTATACCACCACCAGCTACAATAGTTCGAAAACATACAACATGTGAAGAAAAATTATTCATATAATGATGAAGGCTATCGAATTTTGCAGCAAAAGCAGGAATAATGTTATGAAACATTGGATAAAATGGGTTTTTTTGTTTTGGAAGACGTCGATATTCAAGAAGAACCGCATTTCTATCATATTCATTTAACCGAATCATAGCTAAATAGGTAGGTGCTATGTCTTCCCAAATGACATGACCAGGATTATAGGGAGACCACCAATGCGAAAATAAAACATGAACGTGCTCTAAATAAGGTACTTTATCAGCGAGCGGTAACCATTCTTCAACAATTGTTGGTCCCCATGAATTTTGAGAAGTAGCATGCGCAAAAAGGGCAACAAAGCCATGATCATTTATATGAAAGTCATATATATGACCTAGTTTAGGTTCAAATAAAATTGGTGTTTTAATATTGCCTGGCTTACGATAAAACTGAAATACTTTTTTTTTTTTATTATAACAAATATTTTTAAATGCACAAGTTCTCGTTTTCCAATCAGATTCATAATTCATATTACCCGTACAAGTCCAAGTTGACTGAACATTCGAACGTCTTGACAAATTTGCTTCATTTATTTTCTCATTACTTTGAAGTAGTGGAAGTTCATTCGAATGTGTCGTGCCATGAATGCTGTAGATACGGTAAGCTACCAATAAAAGCTGCAGATAATAAAGCGCAAGTATTGTGAGAGAACCAAATGTAAACCAGAGCAAAAATTTGTGTTTTAGAAACTTCAAATGTATCATTTCGTATTAAATCCTTTGTTTTTTGACGAATACCTAAAAAACATAGTTCAGAAGTTGCCTGTCATCATATTTTTCATTGATATTTTATCTTGGAAAAAAATACTGTACTAAACTACATAAAGAATCTTGTTAGAGGTCTTTTGGAAATGAAAGATAGAAGTCATATATCTTTAGTATCATTCTACTAATATCAAAATATGAAATTCTCAAATTTTCAAAAAGAAGATAGTTCTTTCTAACGTTAATCGATTGCCAGCAAATGCTGCCGTTTTCATTTCTATACTGCAAGTAGATTCTTTTTCTGTTTTTCGATGGAATTGCTATGATCTCTAATGGGAAGGAGAAAGCCACAAAAACTCGAACTTAAAACTTATACTCACTATCGTCTTGGAAAATATATGTGAGTTTCAGAAAAAAAACGGGTGGAGAATTGGCTGTTTGTTGCTATAGTAAGTACGACGAGCAATAGAATCGCATAGAACTGATGAATTTAGAAAGCTATTTTTTTGTGTAAAGTGGCAAAGATAAAGACATATGTGTTGTGACGTTGCTTCTAACATGGTACACTATAAATTTACATTATTACGGTCACAAAAACTATTCAAAGTTGTGACTGTATAATCAGGTTTATATAAGGATAAATGAAGAAAAGTTTCTTTTGATTCAAAAGTTTAACAGTGTGAATGAATGTGGATGTCAGTATAAATGCTGGTGCGAGTGTGAGTGCATATTTGGATATGTATGTGGGTGTTTGATGGTCTCTTTTTTCCACATCTTAACTCGTTGCAACATTCACAATTACAATGATCTACTCATTTAGATAATAATTATTTATTTATTTTGAATATAGGGAGACAAATGATTGGATTCACATGGAGACAAATGGAAGAAAAAGCAAGAATACTTTAAATCATGCAGCAGTTATCCGTTTTATTTAAACAGTAATCAGCAAGGTTTGACTTACAATAGTTTTGTTTTAGGAACGCTAAATTTTAAATATTCACGATAATATTGTAAATGTACCCTATTTTAAACAGTTATAAATCTTTCGACAGCTATGAAGATTTATATGAATAGCTCAATGTTTATTAAAAAAAACTATTGATCTCTTTTAAGAAAATATGAGTGACTCTCTGAGTCGGCAGGAGTCATACTCCGAATGGATATCAAGGTGAAAAGCGAAAGGAGGATAGATAGATTTTTATTGCTTGAGTTGAGGTGGTGCTCTAAAGTAAGAGTGAGATCGAAATCAATACGTGAAGTGATAGAAGGTCTAGGATCAGAAGTGAAGTTGTCTTCTGCATTGACAGTACCATCAGAACTGGGACGAATACTGATAGTCGCTCTCAGGCCAGGATTGAAGCCGTGTTCAGCATTTATACTGGAATCATAATGATTAGTCGAAACTGTGCTGTTGGTAGAAAGCGAAACTGTCGTCGACAATGGATGTTTTGACTCACTTATTTTAGATGGCCCACTTGAGCTTATGCTCGATGATATTTTTTATATTAAGCGGCAAACTGCTGTTGATAAAGCGCCGAAATTTGCGTGTGATAAGGAGACAAAAAAGTGAAGTAAGAGTGGTAAATTTTTTTCATCTAATCGCTCGATTGATTGTGCATTATCACTCATTCAGCTTTCAAACAACGTTGAGAAGAAGAAGCAAAAGGTTTTTTTTACCATTTAAAAGAGATATATAATGCATGCGACACGTATTTTATCGATATGCATGGATGAATGCGCAAAATGCAATATACATGACTATAAATGTATTACAGTAGTATTATTTACTTTTACTCGTATAAGAGCGTTTTATAATGCAATATATATCTACTATCGAATCAGATATCACAGAAATGTAACCGGGAAATGTATACTATCCAAATTTGCAGTGATTGTGCAAGGCTTTTGTAGCAATAAGTTACAAGTGTTTGTTTCATTCCTACAGTGAAAGCACTAAAATTTGTTTTTATGATGTAGTTCAAACTAGACACTATTTAAAATAATGAATATTAAAAAGTGATATTTATTTTTTAAAAGTTTTGAATATAACCAATAATTAGTATGACGATCAATAGCGTGCTTACAGCATGATTCTAAGTCGAATGTGAAAATAAAATAATTTAGAATAGGTGAATTTCTGTTTGAATGTTAGTCAAAAAAATAAAAAATATGTTTTTTTGCGTTTCGTTATCGAAAGTGTTGTGTTTCGTTTCTATTAGCCATTATCTTCATCTTCAGATTAGATTATCGCTCCCAAAGTTCCAAGTTACATATCTAGTACTTAGCAATTTTCGGGTTCGTATATGAGATCTGAAGGAACTACCATCATTTAAATAAGAATATGCTTCATGATAATCTTTTGTAGATGTTGATGGTTTTTCAGCAACATAACAAATGAGACATCGAAGATTAGATTGATCGTTTTCTGGACTAATCTCTTCATTAAATATTGTTAACATCATGTCACCATTCATAGCTTGCTAATAAATATAAGTCAATTCAACATTATTTGATGTTTGAGCTTTATCAAGACAATATAATGTACATGATTGAGAAACAGTTATTGGTAAAACAATCAGTTTTTCAAACTTTGAAGCTAGAATTGTAACAAAAATTCCATGTACTATTTGTGGTTCATAGAATCTTTGTGCAATTTTTTTAAATATTTTATCAAGTACAAACTTTTGATAAGATTGACGAGTTGCATCTAATGGAATCATACTGCCTATTTAATTAAACAAAGATCAATATCATGATTAGTAATGAAAAGAGCAGCTATGAAAGCTTCTTTAGCTGATTGTTGAGCTTTCGGAGTCAGTGATTGAAATAGATTTTTAGGTATAGATGCATATATCGATATAATGTAATGGAGTAAGTTGTAGTAAATGTCCATCGAATACTTCATTTGAGTCTATAGTCATCCATCAATCAACTATATTCGTAAGGATAACATCCATTGATTATTTATTTTGATCAATTAAAGCCATTAATTCTGTAGCTGCTGCATATTCATAAAGAGGAATAGAACAATCTACTTTTGAATTATGAAAGTTTACATCATGTATGTCTCCACTACCTAGATCTTTCAACTATAGACGAGATTTTGTAAGCATTTCCGCTAGGATCAAAACTATTACCGGTTTGAATGAAATAGTTGGCATAGGAATAAAACAGTAGTTTTTTTTAGATAGTAAACTTTTTTGCTTGATTATTTTCAATAATTCACTGCTAACTCGTCTTACTTGTAAGCATCTAGATTCTAAATTTTTTGTTCAGTTTCCTTTATAATAATACCTGAAGACTTTTTTAAAATATTTATTTACCTGATAAAATATGATTCAAAACAAGAATTAATTAGTACGGAACTCAGACAAAATGAAATTTCGTGTTCAAAAAATAACTGAGAAAGTATATTTAATTTTTTCGTTGAGAATACACAGATTTCTCTTGAATGCAAATGAAACAATTTTTTTTCCAGATATAATTTAAATTATATGTATTCAAAGTATTTTTTTTTCAATTGGATTTAAAGTATTGTGAAATTAAAATTCAACTTTTGGCTTTGTCAAAGATGAAGCATTTCTGAATAGTTGAGAATAAAAACTGAACAGTCATTCTATTAGTTTGAACACACTATGATCAGCTGCATATACAATGCTGTGTATAACTCATCTTGATCTAAGCCATATTTTGGTTGATATCTTGGGTTCAATTTCTATGAGCACAGAGAATTGTGCTTTGAAAAAATTTACTCTTTATTTGCGACTATTTTTCCTGATAAATCTGTGTGTCTTCATCCAATTTTACGCGCTTTTGTTATGGTGTTTACATTTCCTCTTAGTTCGTTTGTTTCGATTTAGCGTTGTCTAGATAGGAGTTTCCTCTATTTGAAGAACTCATATTTAAATAAGAAAGAAAATCTAACTGTCTTTAAATGGTACTACAAAAACTTTTCATTAGTTAATAGATAGGATACTGAATTTCTCGTTTTCATAAACTGTTATTATATCGTCTTACATTGCTTCATATAGTTGGTCAGCTTGAGCTTTCGAAATAGAAAAAGGGAATTTTTTTAGTCGATAATTGTCGTAATAATAATACTATCTCGTTTGGTTGTTGAATTAGTGTGGTGTGGGTGTAGGTGTGGGTTGTGGGTGTGGATGTGGGGTGTGGGTATCCGTGTAGGTTATTCTTTTCAATAACCCACACCCACACACCCACACACGCACACACCCACACCCACACACCCACACCCGCACACCCACACCCACCCTGATTATATTGATTTAGCAAAAAATGGACAAGATAAATCTATTCTTCTTGCTAAGTAAAACAAACATTATATTATTTATTAAATTTCAAGTATTTATCTTATTTCTATTGATTAGACATTGTTTTGATTTAGTTGATGATCAATCATTAGTTATGAATGAACGAAATTTAATTGAATCACAAAGTATTTGTGATTTTTTCATTATTCAATAACACCTCTAGAAAGTAAATTTTAAATTAATTATCAATATTTATATTAATTTTATTTTATTATTAAGTTCGTCGTCATCCAAATCCTATACAAATAATTCCTGCTATTCTTAATTCAAATCCTCAAGCTTATAAAAATACAAGCAAAGTAAAAGAATTTTATCTTATATGAGAAAAACAAAAAATGAATTAATTCATATTTAGTTAATATCATTATCATTATATCTTCTAACTGGAAATAAACAAGATAAAAAAGATCGATGTGTGTTTTATATTGCTGAACATTGTCTTAAAGTAATTCATTTTCTTTATTTTAAATGAGCATTCTACGATAATTTCATTGATATCTGAATATCATGTGCAGAATCGATTTTAGTTCCAATAATAGAACTAAGAGTAAAGAATATAATTTCCGAGAGATGTATCAAAAGTGCTAGTCATCGATTAAATATCATGCGGCTTGTCCACGTAACGCGACACTTCGCTGATCAAGTTTCGAAAAAATTTTTTTTCGAGTTGGATAGATTTAAATGAGTTACTAGATGTAGTTTTTAACGCTGATTACGAATTTGAGACTTATTTTATACAAAAGTTAGATTTCAGCATTGAAAACCGAGTTTTAAACTTTTCAAAAATCGTGTTTTGGATTTTCTAACCAAGAAATTTTTCCAAAAAATGTCGAAGGACATATCATTCGATGCAAAATTTCATTCTCTACAATATGGTCTATTTAGTTTCGACTTTTGTGGCTAAGGATAATTTTTAGACTCTTATACAATTTCCAACTAACTGCGTCTTTTGTGAGCTTCCAATTCGATGTATAGATCTCGTTTTTGCGTAAAACGATTAGTTATAAAGAAAAGACTAAAACTTATAAAAATCAAATCGTTCTGACCATGTTAAGTGCCTCAAAATTGGTCGACAAAAACTGTGTCACAGTGTTATGAAAAAAGTCGCAGCGTTACGTTTGTTTTTTGCATTTTTTATCTAAGCAAAAATAGTTTAGAGGAAATTATTTTTGCGTTTAAAAGCCTGTTCAAAGCTCTAGAAAACTGACTCTAGAAGTGCTTAATTTGAGGTAACATTTTTACAAGAAATTGCAGTTTTATTAGTGGCTCTGAAGAAAAATGGTCTTTTTATGTCACAGCGTTACGGGACCAAAAACTCTTTGTCGAAGCTCGAGACTTTTATCGAAAAAAAGTCATTTTTATGTCATAAATAGAGTTTGACAAGCTGTGTCGAATGGCGTTTGAACGAAGTTCCTAGCTCTCATAGTTTCAGAGGTAATGCAAAAAAAAAGTGCGTCAAAAACGTCACCGCGTTACGTTTGGACAAAGTCGCATGAGAATAGATCCTGCACATCTCTAGTGACGAATATTGGGTGATTCCACGGGGTTTATACCACTTTTTGGAAGTGGTCTTGGATTTTCATTTTCGTCTTCTAATTCATCCGAAGACAGTCTGAAAAGCATCCAGCAAAAA